GCGCGCCTCCCAGCCCCCAGCCGAAGCGAGAGCGAGAGCGAGCGGAGCCCCTCTCCCTCCCTCCCTCTCCCCCGGCACAGCCAAACGACGAGTCAGAAACAGCGCGAAACCCAGACGCGCGTTAGAGTCAGTCTACCGAGCTTATCCCTCCGCCGTCCTCCTCCGCCTCTCGTCTCCTTCACAGTTCACACACACACACGCCCTGTCAGTCAGCCAGTCAGCCAGTCAGTCAGTCGGCCGGTCAAGCCAAGCCGCCCGCCTCCGCTTCTATCTCGCCGCCGCGTGCCCGCTCCCGGTTCGCCCCCCCTGCTCCCTCTCTCTCTCTCTGTTCGTGTGCCTGCTCTGCTCTGCTCTCCCGAACCCCGGTCACCACCAGGTGAACCAGCCCAGCACCAGCCACTCGATATAAACGCACGTACTCTTCCCGCAAAGCAGCACTGTACCCTAGCTAGTAAGTACCTGTGAGCCACCTGCGACGCGTCGAGACATGGCACTCACGGCGCTCGAGACCGCGGAGCGGCGCCTGCCGTGCCACGCCGAGCAGGCCGACGCCGGCGGCAAGGTGGTGGCTGCTGCTGCTGCTGAGCAGGCCGTGCCGCTGCAGGAGGCGGACCACGGCGGCCGTCTCGAGAGGGACGACATATGGAACATGATCCAGTCGCAGAAGCCCGCGGCCCCGGCGTTGACGCCGAAGCAGGCGCCGTACGTGCCGGCCCCCGTGCGCCGCTCCTCCAGCCTGCTCACCCAGAAGAGCCTGGAGATCTGCACAGAGAGCCTCGGCTCCGAGACCGGCTCCGACGGCTTCTCCGACGCCGCCGACCGCTCCTGCCCGGGCTCCGACGACGACGACGGCGAGGGCGGCGCCGACGGGGTGGCCGCGCGCGCCATGCCGCCCCGCGCGTTCCCGCCGCCGCTGCCCTCGCTGGCGCGCCGCACCGTCGGGTCGCTGCAGATGAGGCAGCACCGCCGCGACGGCCGCCTCGTCGTCGAGGCCGTCCCCGTGCTGTCCAACACCCTGTTCCGCGCGCAGCGCCGTGGCGGGCGCCTGCTCCTCTCCTTCGCTGACACCGCCGCCCCGGCCGAGGACGAGGGGAAGAACCGCGCCCAGGAAGCCGACCAGCAGCAGGCCGACGAGCAGACCCGCGAGGAGGAGGAGGAGGATGACGGCGAGGAGGAGGTCCAGGTCGTGGACAGAGGCACCGTCGTCGAGGTCAAGGTCAGTACGCAGCCCCAGGCGCACAACAGTGGGGCGCGGGTGCACCGCTCCTCGCTCGTCATCAACAAGTTCGTCGGCGCCGAGCCCGTCAACGCCTCCGAGATCAATGACACCGCCGCTGCGCCGCAGCAGTCGCCCAAGCCTCCGAGCAGTTCGGAGGCCGCAGCTCCGGCTCTAAGCGCGACCGCGACGCTGCCTGGCCCGGAAGACGACGGCAGTGCTGCCACGCCCTGCGAGGGCAAGGTGCTGATGACGACGAGGAGGCGGCGGAGCAAGCAGGAGCTCCTCAACCACATGCGCCGGTGCGGCCAGCTGAGCGGGCAGCTCTTCATATGGGAGCCGCGCGTCGCCACCTCCTCCTGAGCCGATCGTCGCGCACGGCGCGCCGCCGCCGCCGCCGCCTCCTGATGCCGCCCGATTCCATGCCTCCACGAGTGCCCTGTTTCTGTTTGTTTGTAGCCGTTGCTGCTGCCGGTGTAACGTAAGCGTGCGTAATATATGGATGTTTGTGTTAGTAGTAAGTGATAATCACGTCACGTGATTGGCTTAGCCATATGAGCGAGTGAGAGTGAGAGAGGTGGTAGATTGCTTTGGTTTATCCCCGTGCCTCCGCGCACGTGTTGTATCTACTTGCGTGCTATCCAGTGGTCATAATTTAAGATAAACATGAATGTTTGTGTGATTCTATTATTATTCTAGAGTTGAACAAACTTCATCTGTTAAACAAATTACGGGTATAATAAAAAATAAAAAAATAAACAACACAATAACAAAAATCACCATTTTGTCCGGTTCCTTCTAAACCGGCCTGAACCGGCGAACTAAGACCAAAAGGACGATAAGACACACATGTAGATGGGGAACACGACTCGGGGTTGGAATAGCTTGGGCCGGAGGTCGTCAAGCAGTTTTGGGCTCCATCAATCAGTGAGGAGAAAACCAAAATCTCTTCATTCTTTCATAGAATGATAGGAAGCAGGGCTGCAGGGTTTAGGTAAGAAATAGAGGGTGCCGGTGAGGCGGAAAAAGAACAAGGTGATTGAGTTGATGCCAAAGAAGTGGTCGGGGGAGCCATTGCTGCCTAATCACCTGTCAGTCTTGCATGAACTCTTGCACTAATCCATATTCTACTCTTCCTTGTTTGTTCTTAGATCTTTTTGCGGGTGCGGTTGGGTATGCTCGTCGTAAGAAGACCAAAGGCAATGATGGTATAACCAGGTGTGTTCACAAGGCTAACAAGTCTAGTCAGGAATAGAGTTAAAGCGCATCACCTAAATTTTCTAGGGTCAGAGGGCAACCTCCAAGGCTACATGGATTCAAGCCTTTGAGTCTGAGTTAGATGAGGAATATGATTCTCAGGAAGATGAACACTACGTGGCTGGTGGGCACGAGGGTCAAGAGGATGAGATCGAGGAAGATGATGTTGACTTTGATGTAGAGAATGAAGATCATGATCTGATAGCCATTGCAGATCTTAATCAGATTGGCAAGCTGGAGTACCTCGTTAAGCGTGAGCAGGATCCATGTATTCGTGACACGGATCCCAATGTTTGTTCTTGTTTCTGGAACAATATCCAACAATGGGTTTATGAGGAGATCCTCAAGGTCAAGAAGTACAAGATTGCAGTTCATCGGAGTTTGGATCTTGAGTTCATGCGCACCAACACACAACCATATCCAGATCTGCACTGGGTTGTAACCAATATGTGGTTGATTCCGTTGCTCACTTTTGACAAGACATTCAGTGAAGACCTCGTTCTCCAATTCTTTTTCACAATGTATTTTTGGGAGAGAGGAGGGTAGATCTTTCAAGTGGACATCCCAAACTGCCTGGATACGAGCTTCTATGGCTTCTCCATCACGAGAATGCCCTTGCTTTTGGTTATAAGGAGCGCTTTGAGTTCACCATTGGCTCTATGCCAACATGACACCAAAGTAGGATG